GTCAAAGTGTTTAATTAGGAGCATGATATTGGACATGTTCTCCCCTTGGCGGTCTATATAATCAATGTTACATGCTTTTCCCAATGGCAAGTTGCCTCACCCAGTTTAGCCTCTAACAGAGAGAATTATGCCCCCCACCCCACCCCACCCCCACCAACCTCTTGGGTTGAATTTTCAGTGGGGTACACTAATCATTCTTATAGAAGTGTCTGTTGATTTGGGGTGACTGTAGAAGAATGTTACATGGGAGACACTGATTGGCCTTCTCCCTTTACCCCCAACCTCAGAAACTGACCCCAGCTGAGGTGAGACCTCCTCCGTCGAAAGGTTTTTAAGATGCACAGATAAGAGGGTGGGTGGTATATGGTTCAGGAACTCTAGGGAGTCTCACTACCTCGTTGCTTGGGAGACTAGATTAGAAGATTATGTGACCTGAGAACAGAAGCCTACCTTTGTCTTGGTGTTATCCTCATAGTTGTTGGTGCCATGGAGTTGGTTCCAATCCATAGCAACCCGATCTTGAACCATCCTCACAATTGTCCCATGCCTGAACACATTGTTGCAGCCACTGTGTCAGTCTATCTAGTTGAGGGATGTGATAGTTAGGTTTATTGTGCCAACCTGGCCAATAGGAACATGTGGGATTAATCAGGTCGCAGTTTGATTGGAGGGCAAAGAGATAAATGGCTCTTTAAGGCTCATCTCTTGCTCTCTGGTAATCGGGGCATGCTGCTGCTTTAGTTAGTTCTCTGCCTCAACCTGTGAGCTACACTACCTGTGGGCCAAGGCAACTTGGGAATTGTGTCACTAGAACTTGAGGTTCCTTCAAGACCTGCTTTGTAATGTGCTGGTGCGTACATCATTTGAGCTTGAGGCTGGTGGATCCTGTCACTTTGCATTGCTTGCGTTTGATATATCCCATCCAGGCCTGCTTTGCTAAGCTCCCGAGCTACTGACTGTTGGTGACCCACCCTGCTATTTGATGCCTGTGGGTAGACTCTGTTTGCCTTGCCTGAGGGAGGACACTGCTGTCTGCTTGCTTGACCTTGGACCTGGCAGCCCACATGAGTTGAAGGGCTTCCAGTAGATTAACTCTTCTATGGAAGTGAGTTGAACTGAACCCTATTAGGGTTCTAATTAGCTGTTACATTCCTTCTTGCTGTATAAACCTATCTAGCTATCATAAATGTCCTGGTTTTGTTTCTCTAGAGAACCCTGCCTAACACAGAGAATTCCTCTTTTTTGCTACCTTTCTACTTTACTGAGCATGATGTCCTTCTCCAGAGACTGGTCTCTCCTGACAACATGTCCACAGTAAGTGAAAGTCTCGCCATTCTTGCCTCTAAGGAGCATTCTGGCTGTATTTATTCCAAGATAGATTTGTTTGTTCTTTTGGCAGTCTGCGGTACTTTTAATACTCTTTGCCAGCACTACAATTCAAATACATCAGGTCTTCTTTGGTCTTTCTTATTGAATATCCAACTTTCACATAAATATGAGGCAATTGCAAAGACTGGGGTTTGGGGCAGGCTCGCCTCAGTCCTCAAAGTAACCTCTTTGTTTTTCAACACTCTGAAGGGGTCTTGTGCAGCAGAGTGACTCAATGCAATACTTTGTTTGATCTCTTGACTGCTGCTTCCATCAACATTGATTGAGGATCCAAGCAAGACAAAAATCCTCCACAATTTCTCCCTTTCCTCCTTGTATCATGGTGTTACCTAGTGGTCCAGTTGTGAGGAATTTGGTCTTCTTTACATTGTGTTGTAATCCATACTGAAGGCTGCGATCCTTGATCTTCATCTTCAAGGACTGATGGATCTTCACGGATCTTCAGCCTCCCACCTCCTCACTTCCAGCAAGTAAGGTTGTGTCATCTGTATATCGCAGATTGTTAATAAGCCTTCCTCCAATCCGGATGGCACATTCTTCTTCATATAAGCCAGCTTCTCTGATGATTTGCTCAGCATACAGATTGAATAAGTATGGTGAGAAGATACCACCCTCATGCACACGCTTTCTGATTTTAAAGCATGTAATAATAGTCCCTTGTTCCATTCTCAGAACTGCCTCTCGATCCATGTGCAAATTCCACGTGAGCACAATAAAATGTTCTGGAATTCCTCTTCCTCTCAAGGCTATTCATAGTTTGCTATGATCCATGCAGCCACATCTTTCTAGTGTTTTCTGCTAAGACCTATCTTAAATTAACAGTAGCTCCTTGCTAATGTACAACTGCAGAATTTTTAAATTATCTTCAGCGAAAGTTTACTTGCATGGGATAGTGGTGATATTGTTTGATAATTTCTGCATTCTGTTGGGTCACCTTTCTTTAGAATGAGCACCAGTACGGATCTCTGCACGCGGCTGTCTACTAACTTCCTTGGCACAGACTAGAGAGTGCTCTAGTTCATCATCATTGTGCTGAAACATTTTGATTGATATTCTGCCAACCTTTAGAGCCTATTATTTTGTTAATCCCTTCTTTCTTAAATATCAGTGGCTTTTGATCATTCACTGTGTCTCAAAATGGTTGAAATGAGGAGCTGATACCAAGGAGCTTTCTTTCAAGAAAGAAAATGTTTTGAGAATGATGAGGGTAACAAATGTACAAATGTGCTTGACACAATGGATGGATGTATGGACTGTGATAAGAGTTGTACAAGACCCCAATGAAATGATTTAGAAAAAATAAAACATACAATTTCTGTTCAGCTCTCTCTCCTCATCATTTTTTCCATTTACCTTAGCTATGTGCCATCCAAAAGCGAGTTTCAGAATCTCCTCTGACACCCATTTGGCTCGTTTCTTTCCTATCTGTTTCATGGCATTTTGCTTTCTTCACATATGATATCCTCGAAGTCATCTCATCACTCATCTGGTCCCCGTGAGTTGGCATTCAGTGTGTCAAATCCATTCTAGAAGTGTTCCTGGAATTCGGACGGGATATACGCAGGGCTGTATTTTGGCTCCCATGGACTTGCTGTAATTTACTTTAGCTTCAACCTGAACTTACACCTGAGCAATGGACATTCTGTCACACAGGCTGCCCTGACCTTGCTTTGGCTGATGGTATTGAGCTTCCCCATAGTCTTTTCCCTCAGATGTGCTCAGGTCAGTTCTTGTGTATCCCATGTAGGAAGGTCACACGTGGAGCCACTGTGTTTGTCATTGAAAAAGTCATTTGAAAAATGACTTTGTTGATGAAAAGCGGCGAGGAAGGCACTTGACTTGCACAATTCTATCATGTGATTTCCAGCTTTGTTTCTCTCACCAAGGTCCTGTTTTTCCAATTAGTGATCTGTCCTCTTTCCTTCTCATCACCAGTAATTATCAATGCACTTTAATTGCATGCTTGGTCAATTTTAGACTAAACGTGCTGCATTCACTGTACTTCCCTGGAGTCATATAGATATTATCCTATCACATACTGCAATATATTTCACGATAGATCTTGAAATGTTCTTTTTGATGATGAATGTGACATCATTTTTTGTCTGATTCAACACGGACAATACCAGTCCATTTCAGCTCACTAATTCCTAGGATAACCATTGGTACGCATTCACGTTTACTTTTGACAACTTCCAAATTTCCTGAAGTCGTGCTTTGTACATTGCACGTTGTAATTATTAACGGATATTTACCACGGTTTATTCTCACTTTGATGTTTTTGAATATGCTATGCCAATCGACAGTGGTGTCCCCTGACGTGATGGTCCCGAGGCCTCGTGTTCAGTGACTCATTCCTTCATGCTGTTTGTATGTCCAAGGTGCTCTGGTGGTGTACTGGTTACGAGTTGGGATGCTGTCCGCAAGGTCAGCAGTTCTAAATGACCAGCTGCTCCTCAGGAGAAAGAGGAGGCTTTCTATCCCTGTAAAGAGCTACAACCTCCCACAAAAGCAGTCCTGTAGGGTCACTCTGAGTCAGGGTTGACTCAATGGCTGTGCTATGAGAAGGAGCTGTCAAAATTTTGCTCCTGGTGGACCTCACTATATTCACGGCTCTCGTTGCAGCAAAGGGAACATCCATGCACACATATCCTCTGTCAATCCTGTATATATTTGTGGATAAGCTCAGGATGTGGGATTTTTATAATGCCTTAGCTAAGTCTGGAATCCAAGGCCTAAATAGATTATGTGCAGTTAACACCATCCCCCGTTAGTGGCTCAATCTTGGGAATGTTAAACCCTCTAAGGCTCAGATCTCATGCCATGCAATGGAGATGATACTAAAGTGGCCTTCATCCACACAGGCATGTCTTGTATTTTGTTGTGTTTTGCAGATACTGCATTTTTTTCATTTAAAAATAAATAAATTGAAGATTTGTGGCAACCCTGTGGTGAGCAAGTTTACCAACACCACATTTCCAATAGCTCTCCCTTTTCGTGTGTCTCTGGTCATGTGTATAGTCATCCTCCCAGTTCAGACTTTGTCATCCTTCTAATGCACACCTAACGGACCACGAGACAGTGCCAACAGAACTTTTAGATATACTGGGAAACCGAAAAGTTAGTCAGATTCACTTTGTTGCAATATTAGCTTTACTGCAGGGGTCTGGATACGAAGCTTCCATGACCTCCCAGGCCTGCCCTTGCTGGTAGTCAAGGTTGAACGAGACAACACAGATGCCTCCCTAAGCAAGTGTCTGGCATATGGAAAGTTCTCAGCACATGTTAGCTATTCTTACAACGATTATTCTTTCCAAAAGAAAAGGAACGGCAGTCCAGGGAAGGAAACATAAGGAACAGGGCAACATGAGGGATGGTGATCAAGGGAAGCCAGAGGAGAGACGTAGGCAATATGATTGTCCACGTGGGGAGAATGGCTTTCACCATTTCCCAGCAGCTATTGCAGATTCCGCCCTCAAACATTTTGTAAGATACCGATCCAAGGTAATGTTTGACCCCATGTGAGTAGCGTGGCAGGGGCCGCCAAGAGAATCATTAACTTCACTTGATTATCTTGTTTGTGGAGATGTTGACTCTGATGGGGGTCAGTAACATTTCGGCATTGGGACACAGTTTTCTGGGCACTGCTGGCCAGTCCCAAAATGGAGCAGAAGACAGTGGTCCTTCTACTTCTTTTGTTTCTACAGTCAGGTAAGACTCATCACACATCTCGTATTTTAATATTATTTCCCTTCATCCTGGTGATGTGTGACTGTTATGTACGATCGTTTTGTCCCACGGGTGTATGTGCATGTTGTTTCACTTTGCTCTTGATTTCAGGAGTGTGAAGGAATTCTTCAGAAGATAAGCTTAATCTTACTATGAAGATTGTTGGGGGACACACAGGGGCAGAGATGGTGATTTTTTCAAATGTAAAGAATTGCGCCCCAATGGTTGCTGTTTCGGTTGGGAAAAAAAGATCACTACCGCTCATAAACTAAAAGGCTGTTAGTCTCTTTGTGTGGTTCTCGCTTTGATTAACTTCAGAACATTTTTGGTGAAGGCATTAAATTCCCTTCCTTTCAGATTTGAAACAATGAATGATCTCTGAGAATACATGACCAGTTCACGCAGTTGGCCTCACTTTTTGCCTGTTTTATTAAAAAATTTTTATTTTTTTATGACTTAGGTAAGATGTTCCATAACTATCTGCCTGCTTCTTGTGACTGGATGGCGCACTGGGGGTGTAGCGGGTAATGTGTTGGGCTCCTATCTGCAAGGTCAGCAGTTCAAGACCACCAGCTGTCCACTGGGAGAAAGAGGAAGCTTTCTACTCCTGTAAAGTACTACAGTCTCGGAACTGCACAGCATTCTACCCTTCCCTATAGGGTCATCATGCTTGGGAGATGACTCAATGGCAGCGATCTTGGCTTGCTTGTTTTATTCTTGTGCCTGGAGGGACCACAGCATTGGCTTGCCCAATAATGTGTGTCTATATTAGGTTAATAAACATTCATTTGGTGCTTGGGGTAGACCAGTCACTCATATTTACACCATAGATGGGCCACGTAAATGTACATGAGTGAGCATCTACTGTACTTGTATTAATTTGTTTTTTAAACTGCCAAATTCAATGTCACTCATTGTAAAGATGACAAAATCTACACTTGGGGAAATCAGGTTATTTGCTCGTTGACCACACACCAAATCCAGTAGGTGAAAGAATCAGGAGATAGACCAGGTCTTTTCAAGGACAAACCTCGCATTCTTGCTGTTTCAACTTTTTAGGCCGTCTTTAAAGTATTTTTCACACGGCCTCCAAACGTTAAACCCACTGCCATGGAGTTGATTCTGACTCATAAAGAAACCAAACGCACTGCCCTGGAGTCGACACCGACTCCAAGTGGCCCCATAGGGCAGGGTGGAACTGCCCCTATGGGTTTCCAAGACGGTTTCCAATTGTTTTCTTTTCTAGAGGAGAAAGCTCCATCATTTTCCTCAAAGTGCAGGTGGTGGTTTCAAACTTCTGACCTTGGGGTTAGCCACCCAATGCATAACCACTATGACAACAGGACTCCAGAATGACCCTACATAGGGTTTCCAAGGCTGTAAGTCTTTATGGGAGTAGACAGCCTCACCATTCTTCCTTGGAGTTGGCTGGTGGGCTTGAATCTCCGTACTTGCAGTTACAGTCCAATGCTTATCCATATAGCACCACTAGGGCACCTTTTAAAATACATCCTCAAACCCCCAAAACCAAACTCACTGCCGTGGCATCCATTTTGACTCCTAGCGGCCCTATAGGACACTGGGTAGAACTGTCCTGGTGGGTTTCCAAGACTGTAACTCTTTACAGGAGTGGAAAGCCTCATCTTTCTCCAGAAATCTAACACAGTAGCTCATTTTTTCAATAGCTTTCTTGATATAGAACTTACAAAGCATAGAACACCCATTTAAAACGTTAAATCCAATGGCTTCCAACCATTGTGAGTTGTACAACCATCACCACCACCATCCACTTGAGGGCGTTTGTATTACCCTCCTCACCCACCCCACCCCCAATCTCTTTGCCATCACGCCTATCCACCATCCCCCGCCTAGCCCCAACCACAAGTCTGTTTTCTGTCCTTCTTCTGGGTGTTTTACATAAATGGAATGGTACACTGTGCTAGTGTGCTTTGTAGGAAGACACTTGACATTTGCTTCATAAATTTCCCAATAAAAATTTCCAAGGTGCATTTTAAATTAGAATCAAATACATTTGGATTAATGGTACAAGGTCTAAGCAAGACCAAAGAAAACATTGAGCCGGGGGAGACTAGACAAAGAGCATTTTGTGATAAGTGGCTGGCTGTGTGTGGTGGGAGCAGGCGCTCTATCTCCACCCATGGAAAGATGGAGCTGGAAGGAGATGAATTTATTCACTGGGCTCCACCCAAGTGCTAGAACAGGCGGGCTTCTCTGCACCAGGATTAACGTATGTCTTAACCAACCTAGGAAAAAGTCTGTCTTTCCTAGGCTCTTTCTGAAAGGAATACATTTATCTGCACTTTCCATGAAAGGAACGTTCATCATTCCAGAGTGCTGAAAGGCCCAGGGAGAGACCAAACTCTTTTTACAGCTGTACTCAGGGAGGGTTGGAAACACATTTTGCATTTCATGAACCAATTAGTCTTCTCTTTCAGACACACAAGCAGGTATGCACATACACACACCACTGTTGTTTTAAGAAAACAACACACACATTTATTTTGGCAGCAATATATGCCTGTATTTGGCCTATACTAATGAGAATAAAATATAATAAAAATAAAACATCGTAATAAAATACTTCTGTACTTGCTAGTCAGCAAGTCTAATTATATCCCATTATATATGAACTGTAATGAAATGAAATAAGAAAAAAAATTGCTGAGAATTTGTCACGCAAAAAAGGAAGAGGAAAAAAAAATCTCTTCTGGTATATATATTCAGCTCCTAAGCAGGATTCAGTAGGGCTACACAATTAATTTGCTGTATATTTAGAAGTAATATAATAAAACACTCAACTCACTGCCATCGAGTCAATGCCAACTCATAGTGACCCCATAGGACAAGAGAGAGATGCCCTGTGGGTTTCTGAGACGGTAACTCTTTATGGGAGTAGAAAGCTTTGTTGGTCTTCCGCAGAGCAGCTGGTGGTTTGGAAAGCTGATCTTGGGGCCAGCAGCGCAACTTGTAACCAATATATCACCAGGGCTTAAAGGATGATAGAAACAGGAATGTTCACATTTTGAATGCCATTTATAGCCCGGCTATATGTTCCAGAACTCTTCAAGGAAGTTCAGTTTTTTATTAAGTACATTTTGTAGGTTTGCTGTAGGCTTGCTTTTGAAATCACCTCCTGATTTATCGAAATTACCCAAGTCCAACACTTCTAGGGGTTGAGGGTTCCAATGGGAGGACAATGCAGGAGATCTCCAAGTGGGTCCACGGGATACATTGTGCCATAGTCTTTGGATGTGACTCAAGTGCTTTTGGGTGTGTTTAAGGTCTTGTTTTCTGTCCAATGGCCCAACATTCCATTGTGGAGTCTCTTAGCTTGAGGAAGGAGGCAGAAGCAGGTGGGGGGGGGGGCAAGCTTTGCAATGACTCACGGGGTGCCTCTCCTCTCATTCAGCATGTGTGCTTTCTGAGAACGAGGATCTGTCCCTTAAGGGTCCTTTCTGCTGGAAAGTTTTCTTTAGCATACAAACGTGCTCTAGGAGGTCTCGTCTTTAAACCAAATTCGATGGCTGTACATTCCTTCCAGTAACTTCTCCTTGCACAGTAGACTTCTGAAGGCCTTGTCTTCTCCTGTGTTCCCACTGCCATCTTCCTAGCTTCTCTGGAACCCACCCACCCTGGCTTTGATTTTCCCTGTGTTAGTATGGGTTGACTAGAGAACCAACTTCATAGAGACACTCTAGTGTGTATAAGAAAGAGCTTTATGTACAAGAGCAGTTGCATATTGAGAAAACATTCCAACCCAGTCCAAATCAAGTCCATAAGTCCAACATTAGCCCGTATGTCCAATACCAATCTGTAAAGTCCTCTTCAGACTCACACAGCACATGCAATGACACCGAATGCAGGAAGATCACAGGCCAGTGGGTGGAACATCTTGTGGATCCAGTGGCGTTGTGAGCATTTCAGCACTGGCAGAGGTCTCCATGTGCTTCTCCAGCTCCAGAGGTCTGGCTCCATCAGCCTCTTTCCACGTGTCTTCTCCATAAGGATGTCTGGCAGGGAGTGAGCGTGTGTCCTGCCTCCAGTGAGCTATTTATCTCCTTAGCGCCTCCAGATGAGGTCATCAAGCTGCGACATGACTAACAGGCTAGATTCCACCCCTTCACTCTGAATTCTCAAATTGACACCAAATTATGTAACTACCACATCCCCCACCCCCCTCTGCTGGTCAAGGTTGCCATGTTGCCTGATCCAATGGAAACTTCGCTAGCTTTATCTTCCCTCTCATGTCTCCTCTATGAAAGCCATCTACAATTTTTACCTAAAGGATGGAGCTGCCATCTTCAGACCTGGATTGACCCTGTCAAAGCACAGTTAGGTGTTATGTGGAGTCCCAGAACAAGGACTACTCTTTACAGTCTTGTCTGGTGAAATATGGCTGGGCCTTCTTTGGCCACTGTCTGTAGCAACAAGGGAGAAAGCAGCTCTAAGATAGATTCTTGGCTTCTAGTTTTATCTCATGAAAGATTATGGCCAGTGTTTCAACTCAACTCAACTCAACTCAACTCACTACTATTGAGTTGATGTTGACTCATAGTGACCCTATAAGATAGGGTAGAACTGCCGGTCTGAGTTTCTGAGGCTGTAACCCTTTGAGACCTGAAAGCCCCATCTTTCTCTAAGTGTTTGTCCTAGACTCTGCTTTTCTTTCTTTCTTTTTTTTAATCTTGATCTTCTTTATTTATTTATTTTTAGTCATTTTATTAGGGGCTCATACAACTCTTATCACAATCCATACACACATCAATTGTGCAAAGCGCATTTGTACATTCATTGCCCTCATTATTCTCAAAACATTTCCTCTCCACTTAAACCCCCGGCATTAGGTCCTCATTTTCCCC